AGTGAAGAAATGAAAAGAACAAGAGGATGACGACACATCTGCAAAACAGAAAAAAGAATCTCTCCTATCACTGGCTTGTTGCCATCTCTCCTAGTTTTAAGCACATTTACCTTCTTAAAGGGTTAGGACAGTAACACATGCAACACTAGTCCTGGCCATCTTGATGGTGCTTAAAATTTTTAGCATATAATCTTTTAGGTAGACTTTCTGATGGGGCTGTTAAAAGATAGTGCAGTATTACTTGTTATAATGTTAGCTAGCATTTATGTAATATCTCCTCTTTATCAGGCAGGTACTATTTTTATTCTAGTTGTACAGATGATAACTAAACCCAGTATTCAAACCTAAATACCCTAGCTCCATAATTCTCGCTTTTAAAAAGCTGAGCTGGGATTGATCTACTTGACTCAGTCTAGTGTTCTTAACTAGATCATGCTAAATTAGTTTTTCAAATGGATATATATATTGGAAGGGTAGAGAAATGTGTTTTGATGACTGTGTGCTGTATTTTATAAAGCAAAGCATCAGTTGCTCTCTGGATCATTAAACAGAAGAGTAAATTGCTTTTGAAGAAAAAAGATATTTTCTTACAATTATTGAAATTAGTCTTTCTTTTTCTAGAAGTGTAGGTTAGACATGGAGGAGCCACAAGGAGTACTTTGACTAGAAACATGTATTAAAAAATAAAGCCTTACAGTTCATGGAAAATGTTTTTGGAACTACTTGGGGGGGTTGATGGTTATGTATTTGCTCCTCTGAATATCATAGTTTTGGGCAATGTGGAATTATGGATCAGATTTAGATTCAAAGATACATCTTTTTCCTTTAAAATTTTAATATTCCCTTCTATAATTTAGTGTAATGGGTATACTTTTGCTATAATTTATAGAAATTTATACCTCTTTGCCATCTCATCTATTTTATTCTTCCTTTCTCTCCCTTATGTTGTTCCATTTAAAATGGATTTGCTGGGCATATGAGATTTAAGGCAGTTTAAAATTTATTTGTGTATCACTGGTACCTAGAGTGAGATGGGTACACAGTGACTATTTGTTAAATTCAGTTGAATACAAAATTAGTCAAGTAGATAAAACTTTTTGAAAATGAAAATAGAAATAAAAAGCTATCAAATATGCTTCGGGAGTAAACATTTGTATTGAAGTAAGTTTTATCTAGAAATTGTATATAGACACTTAGGATGGGAGACAGGTGTAATAACTGCCCTGTAGGATGGTAAGTGCCAAAATCAGATAGAAGGTTAAAATAGTGATATAAAGGATGAAGTTGATTAAAACTTTCTGAAACTCTACAAAGACTTCCCAGGGGTGATTTGGGAATATAGTTTTGAATAGAAGATTGAGTTTGCCAGATTGTCAATGGGGAAAAGATATTTTAAACAAAGGGAACAATATCCTTAAACTGTGAGGCATAAAACAGCATGGTACTGTTGAGGAACTGAAAATCGTTCAGTGTAGCTAAAATACAAGATATAAGGATAGAGACAGGGAGGAAGATTAGTTTATGAAATATAGAGTCATATAGTTGTGAACTTTATATGTCATGCAGAGAAGATTGGAATTTTTCCTTTGAAAAATTAGGAGCTACTTGAAGTATATTTAGCAGATTTTTGAACTGTGGAAGATGGACTGGTTGGAGTGAACTGGAGGGAAGGACATAATCCTTGAGTTGAAATAGTATGAGAGTGTGATTCTGAGTGCTGATCAAGGTATATGTAAAGATAATGTAGAATAGGAGACTAGAAGAAGTTTCTGTGATTTGAAAATATACTTACAGTTGTCATAATACTGTTTTCTTATTTCCTTTACTTGCTCAGAATTATCCTTCAAGTCATTGGCTTATCACTAAATTGAATAACAGTTTGTATCATGCATTGTGCTAGGCATTGAAGACAGCAAATTTAGAGTACAAGGATCTTATCTGAGGAGTTTATAATCTAGTGAGTTTTCCTCTTGTCTCTGTTGCTTCTGGGGATGTCAAAGTAGGAAATTTGCCTTCGTAGAACACAACAAAAAGTAAGTAAGTGCAGTTCTACAGGGCTTATTCTATCTGGACTCTGTCTCTCTCAAAAATAAAGAAAAACAAGGGGCGCCTGGGTGGCTTAGTCGGTTGAGCGTCCGACTTTCGCTTAGGTCATGATCTCGCGGTTCGTGGGTTCGAGCCCCGCGTCGGGCTCTGTGCTGACTGCCAGCTCAGATCCTGGAGCCTGTTTCAGAGTCTGTATCTCCCTCTCTCTCTGACCCTCCCCTGCTCACGCTGTCTCTCTCTCTCCTAGAAATAAATAAAAAAAAACAAAAAAATAAAGAAAAACTTAAAAATGTTTAAAAAAATTTTTTTAACATTTATTTTTGAGAGAGAGAGAGAGAGATAGAGCATGAGTGGGGGAGGAGCATAGAGTGAGGGAAACAAAGAATCTGAAGCAGGCTCCAGGTTTAGAGCTGTCCGCACAGAGCTTGATGTGGGGCTTGAACTCACTCACGGATTGTGAAATCATGACCTGAGCCAAAGTCGGACACTTAACTGACGGAGCCAACCCAGGCATTCCTTTTAAAAATGTTTAAATTAAAAAAAAACCAAAAAAAAAAAAACCTCAGAAATTCATCCTAGGGAGTGACAAAGACAGGTATATAAATAACCAGAATTCCAGTTTATAAAGAGGACATCACCATGGATCCTAAACATATTAAAAAGATAATGGGATACACTGCACAACTTTCTGTCATAAGAAAATTTATCAAATGATATGAAAAAAAATTTTCAAAACTGACACAGAAGAAATGCAAAATCTGATTCTTACACCTATTTACAAATTTCAAAATGTATTTGAAAGCCTTTCCATAAAACACATTGTAAGCCATGATGGCTCCATTGGTGAATTCTTCCAACACTGAAAAAAATTAGTATCGGTTGACATAAATTCTTATGTGGAGTAGAAAAAGAGACAGTCACAGTGCGTGATCTGTCCAGACCCAGATCTGTCAGGGATATTATGAGAAGTGGAAATTAAAGTGAATTTAATTCATAAACATAGATTAAAAAATTTTAAACAAGTATTAGGAAATCAAATCCAGCAAGATATACAAAAAGATAATATATCAGAACCACGTGGTGTTTTTTCCTGGTGTCTGTTACATCTAATCATCTATCGATTTAATTCATCTGTTAACAAAACAAGAAAAAAACTTTACGGTGATCTCAGTAAACGTATAAAAATCATTTGTTAAAATTACATAACCATTCATGTTTAAAAAAAGTCCTTAGCAAAGTAGTTGAAGAGGGCATTTATAAAACCCTATAGTTAATATGATACTTAATGGAAATAGACTGAATGCTCTCCCCTAAGGCAGGGATTTTTCCTCAGAGTTTTTATTATGGACATAGGCATGTGAGGACATCCAAATGGACTGACTATAAACATAAAAGATTTTTCACTTATTATTAGGGAATTAAAATTAAAACAATAGTGAGATACCCCTAGGCATTCATTAGTATGAGTACAATGAAAAAGACTGATAATACAAGTATTAGAGATACTGTGCATGGGAAAGTCCCATACACAGGTGGTGGTTACATAAATTGGTACATCTGCTTTAGTAAGCTGTTTGGCACTATCTACTGAGGTTATACATGTGTAGTTTATAAGCCTCTGTTCTCACTCTTAACATGCATACAGGCACACCAAGAGTTTTGTGCACAAATGTTAATAATGGCATTGTTTTTAGTGGCTAAAAATTAGAAATAACTATAATGTCTGTCAGTAGTGTAGTGGATGCATAAATTGTTTATAAATATTTTACAGCCAGTCAAAAGACAGGCCCATCTATATCCAACCTACAAGAGACTCACTTTAGACCTAAAGACACCTACAGATTCAAAGTGAGGGGATGGAGAGCCATCTATCATGCTACATGCCAATGGATGTCAAAAAAAAGCTGGAATAGCCATACTTAGACAAACTAGATTTTAAAGCAAAGACTGTAACAGATGAAGAAGGGCATTATGTCATAATAAGGGTTCCTCCATCAAGAAGATCTAACAGTTATAAATATTTATGCCCCCAACTAGAAACCATCCAAATATTTACACCAATTAATAACGAACAAACTTACTGATAATAATACCATAATAGTAGGAGACTTTAATACCTCATTTACAGCAATAGATCATCTAAGCAGAAAATCAACAAGGAAACAATGGCTTTGAATGACACACTGGACCAGATGGACTTAACAGATAACACTGAGAACATTTCATCCTAAAGCAGCAAAATACACATTCTTCTCAAGTGCACATAGAACATTCTCCAGAATAGATCACTTACTGGATCACAAATCAGCCCTCAGCAGGTACAAAAAGTCGAGATCATACCATGCATATTTTCAGATAACAACACTATGAAACTTGAAGTCAACCACAAGAAAAAATTTGGAAAGCTCTCAAATATATGGAGGTTAAAGAACATCCTACTAAAGGATGAATAGTTAACCAGGAAATTAAAGAAAAAAATTCTTTTAATGTTTATTTGGTTTTGAGAGAGAGAGAGAGAGAGAGAGAGAGAGAGAGTGTAAGCAGGGGAGGGGGCAGAGACAGAGGGAGACACAGAATCTGAAGCAGGCTGTGCTGACATCTCAGAGCCTGATTCAGGGCTCAAACTCAGAAACCTGAGCTGAAGTCAGATTCTTAACTGACTGAGCCATCTAGGCACCCCCGTATGGTTCCATTTGTATTTGTCACCAGGTAAATCTTACCAATGGTATGAGAAGTTAGGATAATAGTTAACTTTGGCAAGGGCATCTGAATTGTAATTGGGAAGAGGAGATGAGGAAGGATTTTGGACTGCTATTAATATGTGTAAGGATCCATATGTTCCAATTATCTAGTATGCTTGTTAACCATGCTACAAAAAAGAAGGAACAGGATCATACAACTTCCTGGGGGTGACCTTCTTATAGTAATTACTTCCTTATGAAATTATTAATTAAAAGGAAGTAATACTCTTTTTCAGATTCGCATGTCATCCTTGCACATGTGCCATGCTAAATCTGTATCATTCCAGTTTTAGTATATATGCTGCTGAAGTGAGCACAAGCATATGCCTTTCCGAATTAGCGTAACTATAGTTTATACACTACCATTCTTCTCTACAGGATGATGATGATAATAATAATAATAATACCCAAAGAATGATGAAAATCACAAAATCACAAATTTGCAAAACCACCATATTTGCAGAGAATTGCATGAATCTTATCAGTGTATTTCCTTGGTGCCTAAATATCACTGCACTGTAGAAACTTACCTTTTGGTTTTTAGGGGCCTCATTTTGAAAAACAGTTTAAAAGCAAATTTTACCCAGCTCAGAGAAAAAGTTAAAAACAATAGGGGCTTAATGACAGTGGTTTTTTGTTTTTTGTTTTTTTTTTTAACTAGTTTATTGTCAAGTTGATTTCCATATAACACCCAGTGCTCTCCCAACAAGTGTCCTCCTCCATGCCCATCACCCCCCTTCTCCTCTCCCCCACCCCTGTCAGCCCTCAGTTTGTTCTCACATTCAAGTGTCTCTCATGGTTTGCCTCCCTCTCTCTCCCCAACTATTCTTCCCCTTTTTCTCCCCCATGGTCCTCCGTTAAGTTCCTCCTAATCCACCTACACATGCAAACATATGGTGTATGTCCTTCTCTTCCTGACTTATTTCACTCAGCATTAACACCCTCAAGTTCTATCCATGTTGCTACAAATGGCCAGATTTCATTCTTTCTCATTGCCATGTAATATTCTATTGTATAGATAGACCACATCTTCTTGATCCATTCATAATGACAGTGTTTTGAATAGTTGCTCAAGGCCTGAGCTTTGACTTTTTATTATTTGTCTTTATTTTATTTTGAGAGACAGAGAGCGAGCGGGGGAGGGGAAGAGAGAGAGAGGAAGACACAGAATCTGAACAGGCTCCAGGCTCTGAGCTGTCAGCACAGAGCCCGATGTGGGGCTTGAACCCACGGACTGTGATATCATGACCTGAGCCGAAGTTGGAAGCTTAGCCGACTGAGCCACCCAGGCACCCCTGAGCTTTGACTTTTTTAATCTTGGAATTTGAAACCTTTTTTTTAATGTATTCTAAGAGTTCCCCACCACCCCCAACTCCACCAATGGTTTTATTTTACCAAGTGCAATATGTATGACTTCCATATGAGATCAGTGATCACTGTAGGTGATGGTTTTTTTCTTTTCCCAGACATTGCTTCATTAAATTCATTGTTGATAATCCAACAAAACCTCAGTCCTTTTTGATGATTTAGGGTAATGTGGGAGGAATTAGGCTCCTTCATTTTGCATTTTTCCTTAGTGCAGTCCACAGATAAGGTGGCTAAAACAAATCCAGCCTTAAATTTTCACCTGAGTGATATTACAAATAGCATTCTAACAAAAAATTTTGTTTTACATGTATTTTTTAATAAAAACAGACATGTACTGTATGAAGGTTTTATACCACCTAAATTAAACATTCTTCCATTGTGTAAATTAGTGATTTAAAAAAGAAAAATTTAGAAAGCTCTTTTAAGCCTGGCAAAAGTTTTTCAGTCTTTATTATCATATACCTGTTGTTTTCTGCAAGTTGAATAAATTGTGAATTTGTTATTTCCTAGGAGGAGTATAGAACTGAAGGTATCAGCTGGCACAATATAGATTATATTGATAATACCTGTTGCATCAATCTTATTAGCAAGAAACCAACAGGACTGCTCCATCTTTTGGATGAAGAAAGCAAGTGAGTATGATTCTTTCAATTTTGCTATTGGCCATTTGAGATTTTCATGTCTTTTTAACTGTGATGTTTTCTTCTTACATAATGAAATAATGAGCCAAAGTTTCCTTGTATGCATGTTATTGTGTGTGTGTGTGTGTGTGTGTGTGTGTGTGTTTCTAGGAAAATTGGACGCACTTCAGCATTGAATGCATTCTTTCCTTGAGTTTTTCCAGATTCCTTCTACAGAGTTACTTTGATGTTAAATTTGTTAGCATATTTTTGTTGTTGTTGCATGTTCCTCTCTTCCTGAATTGCGTTTTACATGAGATGTGTTTGTACTTTTCATGTTTATCAGCAAAGAATATCATGATAGATTAGTGGTGTCTGCCATGGCTGTGTAAGTGGTAAGTAGCAACATAGGCCCAAATATTTGACATCCTTTTTACCACTGTGTAGTATACCAAACTTATATATAAGCTTCAGAAATAAAACTTCATATAGCATCCTCCACAATGTTTTGAGTGCTCTATAAAAGTATTAATTTAAAGTAAATTATGAGATGGCAAATCTAGAACTGGAGAAACTGAAGTGATGGAGAGTGTATAAGTTTTCTGTCATTCTTCTGTAAAATATTTAGTAATTAGGTCACCTGATATCTAGCTTAACATTATACTTCTTGAACTAAGATATAAGAGACTATCAACTCTTTGCCATTACTCAAAAGGTCCTGGGGGTAAGCCATGTGGCCAGAAATCACAGAGATACAGATTTTGGCTCAATGTAAGGAAAAACTTACTAATCAATCAGTCTGAAGGAAAACATCCCGTGTTGTGGGAATAGTGAGGCATTAAGTTTGCAGAGTTTGAGTTTGTTTAGGTTTAGGAGCTTGGATTCTGTCTCTTTGCCTTGGTGATCCATAAATTTTCCCGAGTAGGGGAGACACATGATTAAAGCAGTATTATAGGAAAATTTGCTATTTTGGTTTAGTGACTTGAAACAAAGTTTAGAGTCACTGAGAATTGTAGAGGCTGTTGCTGTACTCTCTGTTTGATATTATAAGAGTTATAATCCATTCTAGAATGGCTTTAGAGTTCTAGAATGGACAGGAAGAGGTGGATGGAGGAGATGTTTTGAGGAAGGGATAGTATTTGAATGTAAAAGCAGGCCTAGGTGAATAGAAAAAGGGCAGTGTCGGCAACTTAAGAAAGTAGGTGACATTAATGTCCTTCCCATAGGATGCCAGCTAGTGTTAGATGTTTTAGTAGTTTTATGAAATTCTGCTAACAGTCATTGGACTCATTTATGGAAGCTAGTTCTTGAAGCTTACTGAAGGTCACAGACAGAACTGGTATCTCAATAATGACTGTCTAATGCCAAAGACCGTTCTCCTTCCTGATTTTAATACAGTTACATAATTAACTATTTTCGTTATGATTTTAGAATCATTTTTACACATTAGATTTCATATTCACCATCTTTACAACCTCATGTCACATTATTTCTCATTTAGCCACTATTACATGAAACTCTTCTCTGAAAGATACTTGCTTTTTCCATTTTCTGTCAGTAATATCGCCTTTATTTGAAACTCCTACTCAACCTTTAACATTTAGCTTATAATTGCCTCCTATATCTTCTTTAAACCTTTCCATTGTTCCCAATCACTAGTGATTTTTTTCTATTCTGAACTTTTATATTCCTGTATTTGTTATAATGTAATTATTTCTTTTTCTTTTTTTTTAAATTTTAATGTTTATTTTTGAAAGAGAGAGATAGAGCCTGCGAGGGGAGGGAGGGTCAGAGAGAAAAGGAGACACAGAATTTGAAGCAGGCTCCAGGCTCTGAGCTGCCAGCACAGAGCCCAACATGGGGCTTGAACTCATGAACTGCAAGATCATGACCTGAGCCAAAGTCAGACGCTTAACCGACTGAGCCACCCAAGTGCCCCTATCATGTTATTACTTCTTAATAGATATCATTTGAATGATTCCTAGATATGAAATGCTAATCAGTGAGTATAAACCCATTGATGTATATTGAAATAATAATACATCTTGTATAAAATTACATAGTAACTGGTAATTGCTACCTAATTTATATATTAAGAAATGGGAAAACAAAAAATGACTTATGGGTTTAAAGGCCCTGTCCAAATTGGGAGATCATTTTGTTTTTGGAAGTTCTTGGCCCCAAACAGTACATCATTTGAGTTTTATTCTGTGGGTTTTACGGTTGTGTCACACAATGCAACCTAAGCTAAAAGTCTAAAGACCTGAATTTATTGCTCAGTTCTGCTGCTTGCCAAGTGTGTGTTTGGGTAAATCATGAATTTTGATCCATCATCTATAAAACACCAATCCTTGTTGCATTCACTTTTTAGTTTGTTAAAAGAATCAGATGAGATAATATAATTTGCTCTTTGTAATTTGCTAAATGTATTATATGGCAATGTAATTTATAAGGTGTTTTTTTTTTAAAGAGACTATTAACTGGTGCATCTTTCCTTAGTGTTTTTGTTTTTGTTCTTAATTCAGTTTTCCACAGGCTACAAATCAAACATTGCTAGATAAATTTAAGCATCAACATGAAGAGAATTCTTACATTGAATTTCCAGCCGTGATGGAGCCTGCTTTCATTATAAAGCACTATGCCGGGAAAGTAAAATATGGGGTAAAGGTCAGTAAATTCTCATTAAAAGCCTTCAGGGTAAAAGTGTGTTCTTTACTATGTTATCATCCCTATCACACTACCTTCTTTGTAGTCTATGGAGGTTCTTGATCAATAATAATTAGAGACATAAGAATACTACTAACCCTCTTATCCTACCTTGCAATATATTACTGTCTTATGTGCTATTTTTGTTGGCTTCTTCCTGTAGATAAACTTGATATCAGTCCCTTCAAATAATTCGTTGAATATAAAAGAATAGATAACATAAAAAACTCTTAAACCCACTATCTCATTATGTGGTGTGTTGAATTTTTCTCTTTTCCTATGTCCATGAGGCTTGACAGAAGATTTGGTCTTCATGCACCATTAGGTATTTGTGAGTTTGCACTCCTAATGAATATATTGAAACTCTTAACTTCTGCGAAGGGGAATCCTCATAATTGTGTTCATTTCTTGTTTGTAATTAGTGAGCCCATTACCCTTGAACAACTTGATGTTTAAGCCTGCCGTTTAAGGTAATTTCCCAGGCAAGGCAGTGATGGTATGGAGAATAATGGAGCAGTATCTTGTCTCTTGGGTCTTGAGGTTAGGGATCACTCATTCGTTCATCGATGATTTGCTTATTCAGGAAGTGTCTGTTAAATACAGGTTATGTGTCAGACCCTGTC